ATTTCAGATTCTTTAATGTTCGATTAACTAAGAATATTTGAATTCACGTTCATGTCAAAATATTAGTTGAATTTTGATCTTGGTTTCCTTACACTGACCATTATTCGTGTTTCATAATTTTAGATTGTATCGATAGTAAAAAAACCTTGACACGCAAAGATTGACCTTTGTTACATTCTTGTAACTACTGATGTCATGGTCCAACATCTTTATGCGGAAGGTGTTACGAGCGACATACGCGTATTGAAATACAGGGCATTTTTTTAATGTTGTTGCATTGATCTTGATTTACCATACATTATTCAATGCATTCGTTTTAATAATCACGTCAATCTTGTTCAATTCAATCGATAAACATATCAATTAGTTAGCGATTTTATATTTTTTCCATGCATCTTACGTTACACACCACTATCGCAAAAAAGTGAGCACAACGTGTGATATTAATATCAATACTGTTATGACTTACAAATTTTCTATCATGTGTTTACAAGACACGAATAAAACGTAATAAAGAAACTCTTCAATCTTTGAAAATTAAATTCAATATCTTTTTATGTATTTATTACGATAATAAAGTAATTACTGTTTAAATTGAACGGTTTGACCTCTTGACTGCTAAAGATTTAATTTTACACACAAAAATGTTGGAAATCACTATTCGTCGTAAAAGTGGTTAGAAAAATAAAAACAATTTTCTTGAAAAATTAAAATTTTTGTATACAATACTTATGTAATATATATGATACTATTAATACTTTTTATATAACATATTTATAACACAGACAGTCGGTTAAGGTGTCGTTTCGTTTTTTGTTGCTTCTTTTCATTACAAAGTTATCTATTCTAAAGTCAACATATAATCGGAAACATTCAATTTATAATTTAAAAATTGTAGTTTCCTTAAGCGATTTACCTCACTTTTTGTTACACATAATGAATGAACAAAATACGCGTGAAATTTATTTCAATATTATTCAAAGTATTTACTTGGGAACTAGGACGCTTCTACTATATCATTATGCAACAATTTACATTTGATTGATTTGAAATCTGTCAGGAGCTGAAAACATTTGTCACATGTCAAAAAGGAGGTAAACTAGACTGACTTTAAAGAAAAAATGATTAAAAAAGCCAACTTGAAAAATTACTAACTGTTTGAATAAAAAGCGGTACCATGACATGATTGGTTTGACATTGGCATGGTTATTTTTAGATAATGCAAATATATTGATGAAGGAAGTTTTATAATATAAATCGTTAACAAATGCTTCTTTTGATTATTTATAAAAGTATTCCAGCTGACAAATATTCTGCACATTGTATACGATTAAATATGGCGAAATGTAAAATGAGAATAAGGCTAATATGTGAAACAAAATGATAAAAAAACAAATAAAATGTAATACTAATTTTGCTTTACTTTTAGCCGAATAGATAGTTTAATATTTGCAATTTATCTATAAATAATAATGTAAGAAAATTAATTTTGTTACGAAAGATAGTTCCATTTTAATTCATAAATGCAATTATCCTCGGAACTATTCGTTATTTAAAAAAGTGTTTCAAATATAATTTCTTCTGTTTTGAAAGGTCAGCAATTTAATACACCTAATTTATTTTGAAGTACACGTATGTAGGAAATACAAAACTTACTACTATTTTTTCAAGTATAATCATGTAATCTATTTGGATTAATCAATCCATTAGATCATTTTCGAAAAATGTGATTAAATGTGTATATTATACATACATTTTTATAAAATCCATGACAAAAAGATTGTATTTCTAAGTAACTTTAATTCTTCTAATTGTAAATATATTTTCAGACATATAAATTTATTTAAATATTCGCAATTAGAAACTGACGTAAGAATTACAAAAATAATGTTTGAATGTCATCTAAATTTGAGGTGAAGTTTAACTTTAAAAGATGAATTTCAAAAAGTACTAATTTTTTAGTTATTCACTAAACAACAAAATCAAATTGGAAACGTATATTTTTATAAACAATATTTCGAATATTTATACTCGCGTAAACTTTACAGTGATATATTATTATTGCTAAAATGAATATTTGCTAAAGAGAAGCTTTTTCGCGTCCAGTTATGCTGTTGGTCAAAAGTTTTATTGGTGAATTCTTGTATATGATAAAGGAACATACAAGATATAACATTTTTGTTATTTTATTTTATATATTTATGATATATAATTTTTCATTGATATTACATATCAAGTAATTCCAAACTTTTGACCAGCAGTGTATTTTAGAAACTTCATAAAACCGTATTCTTCATAGCCACGGTTTCGATTGCGCGGGCGCATGTTCCTTCGAATCGATTATCTGGAAATTTTCCGTGGCTCGTCTGAAAAGTGGCTGAAGAATCACGAAGATATCGTTATCTTGGCATCGTGGCTTCGCGCTGAATATGCATGGGGTGGTTCGTAGCTTGTTAAAATCCGTGAACCTGTTACCCCCCTTCTCCTTTGCGTCAATGGCTGCGGAAGCCCTCATGAATCTCGAACCGTCGCATGCGATATTTATTAAGCGGTCGTGTGTTCTCAGCAGAAGCAAAGAAACTCGACGATCGTGAACTTTAAGGAGAAACCATGACTCAGTGTCATCCAAGAGACCTTCCAATTTGGTTAATCGTCCTACGGGGTCAACTCGATTACACGAGGTTACACGTCTGACCAAGAATTTCTGCTCGTCTTTCTTTATATTCCTTCGCCTCAGTCCCTCACTGTCATTAAGACCCTGACCCACCACCATTTCCTGTTCGCGACAAAAAGCACAAAGTTAGGGCAACAAAAATCAGGTTTAGAAGAGATTGCATCGGAAAATGTTAACCCCTCGAGTGGAAATGACGAGTTTCGTTCGTACGAAAATTGATTTTGTACATTGTTTTACAAATCTGCGATATTGAAACTAAAATTTTCGTATTTTCATGAGTAAATTTAATTGAATTTGTAATACTATAATTTCTTTTGTAATAACTGTGTTTATAAAATTGCAACAAAACTAAGTAACGTAAGCAGGAACATTTGAGCCGAAATAAATCGTAAGGTGAAGGGTTAACGGTCTTTTTTAATCTTTCTCCAATCCTAGGAGTTTTTGAGGAAACTTGGTTTCATTGACCCTAATCATTGAAATCGGTAGTCTCACTGCCAAGCACGAATACATCAGAAACAGTTGCAACATTAAAATATATATGAATTAATTTGCTGTTTTTTTATATTACTTTATAAAATGTTTGCACAATATTCATAATTGAATTTTCTTTTTCAAATTAACAAAATTGATTTGGAGCAACTGGCCATCATTCTATGATATTCTTGGAGTGGTGAGAGTTAATACCATTATTAATACAATTTTAAGAAATTACTTATCTTCGTGTCTAGTATGTACTCCTTTTTAGTCTGGTGTACTGCTTGTACATTTAAGCATTTAAGTTAACAAACCGTTTTTTTCATGTAAAATATATGTTTAAACAACAAAAGGGAATATGTTTTAGATTTAAAAACGTTTTGGTTATCTTAATTTTTTAAACCAGCTATACAAAAGCAGTATTTATAAGTTTTAAAAATATAAATTAATATTTGAAGTTTGATGAAATGAATAATAGTAATAAAAAAATTATACAATCATAATTATGCTTGTATATTTGTTTGAAATTATCGTTTCAACCTGTATTACATTTCTTTCATTAAAATGATTTCCCGTTTTCTTAACGAAGATTTTGCTGTAATTATCTAATGAAGAGCGAAAGATTATTATGGCTCTACGATGCATGAAATTAATTTCATAGGAGAAAATCCCGTAATACATAAAAACGCTCAGAGTATACAGGTTAGAAAGATAATTTATATTTTCATCATCTGCGGGAAGAGTTAGTTTTTACTATAATTTAATAAATAAAATAACATATATTTATTCAATTTTTATTACATTTAATGCATTGTAATTTTACTTTTAATTTATGCAGTTATACAAATATTTATTTATATTTATGGATAATTTTATTTCATTATTTCATATTTTACGTTTTCTATGTTTTTCTTTGTAACATTATCTATATAATTTAAGATAGCTTTCTTTAATGAAACAGACAACTATTGTTTCCAATAACATTTTTAAATATTAATATTTTTTTCTCTATAAACTACTTTTATCTATTTCTAATTTAACGCCGTTTTTAACACAATTTATTTTTACTGTTACTAGTGTTTCCAAACTTTGCAAACTAATTTATTAATTATTATAGGTAAGATTCCGAATCAGAAAACTACCGATGATTACAGTTTTATTTAATTCAAATATGTACAATAAGACAGATTATGTTCATGCTGCGAGTTAAAATAACAAACGCATTTAGAAATCGAAGAATAAGGAAACTTTAATAG